GAAAGCCACACGTCTGTGACCTTGTGCCAAGTGCCCTGAAAAAGCCACCCCCAAAACCTACAAACCCCCCACTGGGCCGTCGTTTTAGGGTCCCCTCTTTGGCGACAGCAACGTGCAGGCTATGTGAAGACCACGTCTCTGCATTTGACACATATTCATATGTGCTAATAGTAACACACACAGCCGGGTGTGGCGGCTCACGCCTGTAATCCCAGCACTTTGGGAGGCCGAGGCAGGGGGATCACCTGAGGTCAGGAGCTCGAGACCAGCCTGGCCAACATGGTGAAACCCCGTCTCTACTAAAAATACAAAAAATTAGCTGGGCGTGGTGGTGGGCACCTGTAGTCTCAGCTACTTGAGAGGCTGAGGCAGGAGAATCACTTGAACCCGGGAGGCGGAGGTTGCAGTTAGCCGAGATTGTGCCACTGTACTCCAGCCTGGGCAACAAGAGTGAAACTTTGTCTCAAAAAAAAAAAAAAAAATATATATATATATATATATATATATATATATAAACACACACACAGGTCCCTCAACCAACGCAGGGAGACCCGGCACGTGTGCGAGCCTTCGCCCCCCTCCACAAGCAGGTTCTTCCCTGCTGAGAAAACATTAGGCTGCACCACTGGGGAGCAGAACTGATCACTGAAGGAATCGGCTACATTAATTAGCAGAGCATGGAGGATGGAGTCAGTGGGCATGGAACACACTGACAATGACCAAAGCCACAGAGTGCAAAGCATGGCACCTGTTTTTCAAAACTTCTCTTCCACCAAAAACCAACGATTTTTGCAGGCTATATCACGAGTTTTATAGTTAAAAATAATTCAGCGCCTCCTAAACAAATGGGAAAGAGCGCTTTCTGAAGCATACACTGCCCAAAAAGATCAGTGACCAGTCAACAGAGAAACTTTCTTCCTAATTGGAATCAACAGCTAAACATAATCTTTTTAAAAATAATAATAATGATAATAAGACATGAAGCCAGGCACAGTGACTCATGCCTGTAATCCCAGCACTTTGGGAGGTCGAGGCAGGCAGATCACCTGAGGTAAAGAGTTCAAGACCAATCTGGCCAACATGGTGAAACCTCATCTCTACAAAGGTACAAAAATTAGCCAGGTATTGTGGCGGGCACCTGAATCCCAGCTACTCAGGAGGCTGAGGCACGAGAACCACTTGAACTCAGGAGGTGGAGGTTGCAGTGAGTTGAGCTCACACCACTGCACTCCAGCCTGGGAGACAGAGACCCTATCTCAAAAAATAAAAACTAAATAAGACATGAGTTTGTCTTTATGGGGAAGTTTTCTGTTTCCACTCCTATTTGGCAATTCCACGAAAAGTATCAGTTATTAATGAAATTGGTTTTAGGCCCTTTAAAGCCACAAAAAAGAATACCCAATTATGAAGGGCAAAAATGTAGGGAAGAGAAGGCAGAAGAAAATATTCTGGGGAAAGGAGTATGAGAAACCAGCTGCCACAGCCCTCCCATTCCTTGACCCTCCCAGAATGGAGCTCCAGATCACCTGGAGGCCTCCCCATCCTCATGGCCTCCTCACCTGCAGGGTCTCCTCACCTGTGGGGCCTCCGCACCCTCACAGCCTCTCCACTCATGGGGCCTCTCCATCAGCCTAGCCTCCCGCCCTCATGGCCTCCCCATCCTCATGGCCTCCTCACCTGCAGGGCCTCCTCCCAGCTGTGGGGCCTCCGCACTCTCACAGCCTCTCCACTCATGGGGCCTCTCCATCAGCCTAGCCTCCCGCCCTCATGGCCTCCCCACCCATGGGGCCTCCTCACCCACAGGGCCTCCTCACCTGTGCAGCCTCTGTGCCCTCACAGCAGGGCCTCTCCACCCATGGGGCCTCTCCACTAGCAAAGCCTTCCCCGCATGTGGCCTCCCCACCCGCACAACCTCCTCACCCGAGGGGCCTCCACACCCTCATGGCCTCTCCACCCGCACAGTGTCCCCACCTGCACAGCCTCCCGACCCGTGTGGCCTCCTTACCTGTGTGGCCTCCTCCCTGGCTCACACTCAGACCCAAGTATGTGAGGAGATGACCCCTCTCACCCCACACCCCGAATGTATCCCCACACGGATTTGAGGCTGTCAGCTCCCACAAGGGCTGCCCAGCACTTCTCCCCACAGAGAGCCCTTGTGTTTTGCTGGCCACGTGCTCTGTGGTGTGAGCTGGCCTCGCCTTCCCCTGCAAGGGGCATCAGGTGGCACGGGACAGGGACAGGCAGTGGAAGAAGGATGGAGCCCTCGGCCCCGCAGCAAGAAGTGCGCCTACAACTCCACAAAGCAGAACACCAGCAGGTGCATGTAACGGCACCCAGCAGGCGGGCGCAGCAGAACCAGACCAGGGTCTCGAAACCTAGACAACGTATGACCCACGCAGGCTGACAGCTCATGCAGGAAACTCAGGGGAATGCTCTACTCTTTCTTTCAGTCTACGTTATGTGCTTAAAATGGAACTTTTTCCATCCTCCTCTGTAGGAAATGAGCACTGGAAATTCCACATATGTTTCTATAATATTTTCTGATATTTTAATAAAATGATGACAACTAACTTAAAGAATTCTCTCCACTTGAATTTTGATTGAAGATGGGAAATAATTCAGCATTAACAGCTGTTTTCAGCTTTCACTCTGAAAGCAGATATATTGAGGAATTTTGGAAGTCCAATAACATAAAGAAACACAGATTTTTGATCCTTCAATTCTTGGGTTTCTATTAAGCAATACTGGAAAACAAGTTGATTCATCTAATTTAAGCCCATAAAACTGTTTTATGTGGTTATGAGACAGAGAATTCCAAATGACCTTACAACGCTACCCCCATAAACTCAACCTGGGCAAACCCACACTTCACAGCAAAGTCAAAGACCATCCAGTGAACAGATGAGGCAGTGGGGCCAGCACAGGCCGGAGGGCGCAGGGAGGCTGAACGGAGCCACGGAGCAACCCTCTCACAATTTCTTCTTAAATGTGTAGCTCAGGTCTCAGTAAGATTCATATAGAAGGAAAAAACATAATTAGGCTTCCTGCATGCAAACACACACACCTCTTTCTCTGCCTGGTCGCTCGATGAGAAACTCATTAAGCCCTTTTAAAAAAACCTGTACAGACAGGCAAGGTGTTCACGAGGAATTCGGCTGAGCACACCTTCGTCGAAAGTGGCTTTGCCATCGTCTGGGCAGCAAGACGGTATCACTCACCCTTCAAGAGCGACTGACAGACAAGTGTCATCACCTCAAAAGGCCACGACGCACGACGCACCGGACACCCGTTCCCAGCGACATCCCACACTCTAGGAACAAATGTGGGTCCAACTTCTGGGCTGGCAGTGGGTGGGGAACACTCAGACGGGGCTCGCCCTGCCGAGCTTAGGGGTGCCTGAGCTCGGATGGCATGGTTGGGGCACTGACATTTCACATCAGTGTGATGCAGGCAGCACAGAAGTCCCTGTCCTGAGACAGCGCACGGCGGGTGCTACAGGCAGGGGTGCACCTGGGCCGTGACACGAGCCAGGAAACCTACCCAAGGCTGACACAATCAGATAACCAGGATGGGCCTTTTGCAAATGATACTCTCCTTACCCGCCAAACAAGCTGTCTGCACAGCACACTCTATTTATCAGTTTACATCCGAACCCTGCACACAGCGTCTCCTGCCTCCTAGCCATGCACTCCTCATCCTCGGCTCCTCGGGAGGGCGGCAGCCAAGCCCACAGGCCTGGGAGACTCTGTCCTCCCCGCCACTGTGTCACGTTACCAGACACTGACACACCTCGTGGAACCCCACATCTGAAACTGAAAAACAGGACCATTTCCCGTCCCTAGAAGCCTGGAAAGGCATTTGGCTGCATACTATGGCCACTGCTCACTCCCTTCTCTGCCCTGAAAGTGTTAAAAAGGAAACACAAAGTCAACACCAGCTCCTCCCTGCTGCTGAAAATTGGCACGAATGAATTTACTTTCTGGCTGCCGGCCCTCACAAAACCGTTACCCAAAAAAAGTTCACCATGCTAAACTGCTCCAAATAGAAATGCGAGACGCGCCGGCCCACCCCCATCCCACCCCACGTTACAGGAATGGCCTGACCAGGGTGAGCCCGGAGACGGCTAAACACACATCAAACATTTCAGATTTGGGAACTTCAGTGGTTTTGGGAAAAAGACCTGGCAAAGCCCGATCTGAAACTTATGACAGTTGAGCACATGATCTCCGCCATGTAGAGCAAATAAGAGGCGTACACAACCCTCCATGAGACCGCGGTGGCCGATCCGCCACAAACCCTCCTACGACAGGACCAGGACGGCGAGGCCGGAGCCCAGCCCGGGGAGAGGTTGACGATTCTGCCCAGCCCTCCCTGCGCAGCGACCGCGAACAATGGGGATGGGATCCCCCGGGCCGCGCCAGAGATCGAACCCGGGGTCCAACGACAAGTTTCGCATTGAAATCAGGCCGGGCGTTCCAGGCCGAACCCGCCAGCGAGGAGGTGGCGCGCACCGCGCGGCTGCACCAAGGACGCCACGGCTCCAGCGCAGAGCGCACGGGAAGGCCGATCCCGGCGGGCCCGCTGCATCCTGCGTCCCCGCGCGGCGCCCAGGCCCCACAGACACCCCCAGGGCGCGGGGGGATCGCGGCCCTACAAACATCCGCGGTGGGATCGCGGCCCCACAAACATCCCAGGGCGCCAGGGATCGCGGCCGCACAGACACCCCCAGAGCGCGGGGGATACCAGGCCCCACAGACACCCCGAGAGCGCGGAGAATCGCGGCCCCACAAGCCTCCCCAGGGCGCGGGGGATCGCGGCCCCACAAACGTCCCCAGGGCGCGGGGTCTGGGGGTCCGGGGGACGCGCACGCTCTGGGCTGGGGTCGCACCTCCCCCTCCCGGCCCGGCCCCCGCCCCGCCGCAGGCCCCGCGCCCCCAGCCCTCCGCGCGCGGCCCTCCCCGGTGACAGCGCGGCCCGGCCCGGGGCGGGGGCCCGGTTACCTTCCGACAGCTCCAGCTCCAGCTCGGCCAGGCGCGCCCGCACCTCCAGGGGCAGCGCCATGCCCTCCAGGCTGCGGTCCGCCATGCTCCGCGGGCGCCGCGCCCCGCACGGCCTCCTCTTTGTTCGCAGGCGGAGGTCTCGGCGGCTCCTCGCGCCCGGCGGAACCGCACCGAGGAGGAGGCGGCGGCGCGGGCGCGGGAGGCGGGCGGCGGGCGCGCAGGGACCTCCCTCCCCTCGGCGCCTCCTCAGCGCGGCCCCGCCACGGCCGCCTCGCGCGCCCCCGCGCCCCACGCGCCCCGGCCCGCCCCGCGCGCGCTCGGCACCCCCGCAGGCTCTGCGGCCCCGGCCCCGGCCCTGCTGCTCTCGGCCCTGCTGCTCTCGGCCCGGCCCGGCGGGCGTCTGCGCGCGCACGTCACGGGGCCGCGGGGGCAGGGCGCGGGAAGGCCGCAGGGCGCCGGAGCAGAGCGCGCCGGGGAGCGCGGCGCGCGGGCCGGGGGCGCGCGGGGGCGGCGCGGCCGCGTCGGCGAAGCGCGCTCCCAGGGGGCGCGCTCGGGGGGCGGAGTGGGCGCGGGGCCCGCGGGGCGGGCCAGGGCGGGGCGGTCGGCGAAGCGCGCGCTCCCAGGGGCGCGCTCGGGGGCGGGTGGGGGGCGCGGGGCCCGCGGGGCGGGGCGGGGCGGGGCGGTCTTGTCAGTCCTGGGCTCTGCGCGTCCAGCGGAGCCTCCGGGCCCTGCCCCAGCGCCTGGTCCTCCCGGCTGCCTGCGAAAATCACGTCCTGGAGCCGCAGCTTGACGTCTGCGCGGAAACTCGCAGTGCCCCCGGGTCTTGGAGGGCTGGTTTTTTGCTAATGAACATATTAAGAGGCGGAGACGGAGCGCTAGGCTGGAAGTTTCGAATGCAGCGACCAGCAGATGACCTTGAGCGACTCTGAGCCTTTGCCTGGGGGTCAGTGTCCCCATCTGTGAAAAGGGGGTGGGAGGACAAGGTTGGGTAACCTAATGTCCAAATGCCAGGTCGGCCCGAAAAGCCTGGCTCCAGCCCTCCAGGGACAGGCTGCAGGCCCCAGGGTTCCCACCTTCCTTCCTCTGGTGGGGCCATCAGCTCCCAGCCTCAGTGCCACCTCGGCGAGGCTGAAGCCCCGTCTGTGTCTCTAGTCCTGACCATCTGGGGAGGCCCTCGCATCTCCAACTGTCCACTGAGCAAACTTCCCTGGAAGCCCCCAGACACCCCAAACGCCACAAACCCTAAATGAAGTCAGCTGCTTCCAATGGCTCTTAGTATCTACCTGCTTCTCAGAACCACCCCCGTTGTGTTCATCATCATCTTCCTCTGTCGCCACACATCCTCCCCAGTCTGTCGTATAAAGCCCTGACCACCTGGCCTCCTTTTCATCCTTGTACCCCCTCTTCCCAGCCGGGCCCCTCCCTCAGGCCCAGAGCTTCCTAAAGACCTCCTGGCCTTCCCGTCCTCCCGGGACATTGGCCAGCGCTGGTTGCACTCACTCCCCTTTCAGAGTAGGCCGCAGGAACACAGGTCCCTCCCCACCACCCCCCTCCTCCCTACCCCCCTACCCCCATCCCCCCACCCGCTTCGACTGGAGCCCCCACCAGCCAGGGCCACCTTCAGGGCAGCCTTGCGGTCTCCACACTCCGGCTCCTGCAGACAACGCGGCTGACCCGCAGCACCTCTGCTCCTGCTCCCGGCCTTCACCCCGGAGAGCCTGCCCCTTCTCTGCCCGTGCCACCCACAGCCATCCCTGACCCCAGGTCCAGAACAATCTCTCTCCTTTCTCTTCCTCCACCCGCCACTTCCCGGCCTCATCATGTTTGACCTTGCGTTTATCTCCTCTGTATTCTTTGTGAGTGTAAGCGCCTGGAGGACAGAGTCCATGCCTCTCCCACCTTTGCCCGTCCCATGGATCTGGCAGTGACGGCAACCGCCAGAGGTGTGTGCATTTCCTGTAGGGATCGGTCCTTTCAGTGGGGAATTGTGAGACGCGAATGACATTCGACGATGAGCTGGGAAACAGGAACCCCAAAATTCGTGCACTTCCCGCGCAGAGCCGTGCGCCTCTGTCCGGTGTGCGCGGTGGGTTCATCCTTCCCTCAAGACTGCCAAGGTCACGACACGGGTGGCACAAGCATGTGGCCCCACCGTCATGTCTCCCCTTTTCATGATAAAGAGACCGACCAGCAATGTAGGGGCCGTGGGGAAGATCCCACACAGCCCCTGCATGTCACAGATACAAGTCCTTAGAGACAGAAAAGGGAGCAGAACCAGGATTCAAACCCCAGTCTCCAAAGCAAAGCCCTGAGTTCATTTCATTATAGCAAAGATGCACTGTACATTCCAAGCAATAAATGGTGTCAAGTCCATTTAGGGCAGGATAATATCAGAATAAAAATATATATTCCCGGGTCAGGCACGGTGACTCACACCTGTAATCCCAGCACTTTGGGAGGCCGAGGCAGGTGGATCACGAGGTCAGGAGTTCGAGATCAGCCTAGCCAATATGGTGAAACCCCATCTCTACTAAAAACTACCAAAAATTAGCCAGGCGTGGTGGCACGCGCCTGTAGTCCCAGCTACTCAGGAGGCTGAGGCAAGAGGATCGCTTGAAACCGGGAGATGGAGGTTTCAGTAAGCCGAGATCACATCACTTCACTCCAGCTTGGGTGACAGAGCAAGACTCAGTCTCAAAAAACATATATATGTGTGTGTGTGTATATTCCCTTTTTAATGGGCAGATGGGCCTTAATCCTTTGCATATGATCCTATAACTGATGTGGGTTCCAAAGAAAACTTGTAATTTGCATTAAACACCTCAATTGTAAACTCAGATTTTGAGGTGATGGTTCCTTTCAGCAGGCCTTTGTGCACCTACACATTATACATGTGAGCATGGGCTCTCAGCCTTAGACTGTCATTTCCAAGAGCCTGATAGGTATCATCTTCATCTGGAACTCCTACCATCTCCTTGAAATTCATGCTGTCCACAATCAAAATCATCCTACCTCCCAATCCTCTCCCCTATGTACGTTATTTCTGAGAGCAGCCTCCCTTTCACTTGGAGTCCCCTCAAGAACTTCTACTGACAGCATTTCTCTTGTTCACTGCCTACTCCTGTCGAGACCTCCAGCTATGTCAGGCCTTCAGAGCCTCCTTCCTGTCTTCCCACCATGGCTGCCAGATCACTCTTCCTAAAAAGTCCCTCTTAGCGCAGACCACAGGCCCCTTGCTGTACAACCCACGATTCTAAGCCTGCAAACTGAAGAAATCCTTAATTTGACATCAACGGTTTCACGGGCCCTGCACTAAACCTTTCCCCCTGCTTTCTGTTCCTCCTGTCTCTTTCATGCTCCGAGATTCAGCTACAGAATTCCCAGCTGTCCATGGAGAGTCCCCCACCTGTGGTGTCTGTTTTTCTGACGTGCTCCCTCCTGTTGTCTCCCCTTCCCTGCAGCCTGAGTCAGAGCTGTACATGGAATTTCACCCTGTCCAGTCCAAGCTCAAACGCCACTTCTTCCATGCGGCCTTCCTGAATCTCCTGATTAGAAAGATTCTCTCGCACCTGTGGAATTACACACCTCTTTATCCACCTGCTGTCCCTGGGACTGGTAATTTATGAGTGTGTTTTATCTGGTGGCTGGCTTATCTGTAATTCTCCCATGTGTTGACTGACACCACAGATGCATAGTGCCTCTGTCTGGAAATGCAGACCAGCACAGGAGCAGGGAGGAGCAGCCCTTTCCGGGGTCCCATTCTGCTCCACCTGTGGGCAGCCTTGCAGAACGTGTGATTAGTGAAACCTTTGCCATCTTATGTGCTCATAAGTGTAAAAACCTGGTTCAAATGTGTGTCCAGGCAGGAATGAAGGTGCCCCATAGATGTTTATTAGAATGAATCAAATAGACTCCCAGGGCTGTTGGCTTCAAAAGCTCTGCCAAACCCCTGAAATTTCCATCAGGGATTAAAGTCACGTTTTTGAGCTACTCCACAGTTTTGCCTAGACAAGTCTCAAAAACAGTGTTGTGAGCTCCACAGAGGGACAGCAACATGTATCTAATTAAACAATTAATTAATTACCATGCCAACTAGTGTTTGAGGACCTGTTTCTGTGTCTTGCTTTACTGTCTACTGACGGGTAATTCGTCACCATTATTTACCCTAACTTCCAGGACCTTGCTTATTTTTTTTCTGTGTCACTGAATTCCAAGCCAATTCTAATGAGTGAAAAATTAATTACTTAGGTGTAACTGGGCTCGAGATTTCAGGAAATCTGATTGGAGTGGAAAAGAGTAGCAAAGGAATGTGTTGAATCAAAGCAGGCTGGAGGTATGGGTGCCCGGCAGAGAGTTTATTTATTCATGAGATCGCTAATAGGAAGGAAACACAAAGCTCTCAGGGAGTGGTTCCCCTGCATCTCAGAGCTGCACCTGGACTCCCTCCCTCTGTACCAGATTAATGGAAAACTGTTCATGCTGCACTCTCGCCTATGGGCCCCAGTTCTCTGATTTTTTTTTCCTTTTCCAAAGCTACTGGAAGAGTAGGTTGTAAAATACTGCGGTTGGTGTCCCCCAGGTACTTACATCTTCAACCCTATGTATGGCCGGGGGAAGCAGGAGTTACAATCTCATTGTGACAAAATCTTCCTAAGCTGCAATTTCCACACAGAGCTGTGGCTAGCAGCTTACGTTTTGGGTTCTGTTTCATTCTTTTCTTATCGCATCATCAGAAATTCAGCTTGGGTAGACTAAAGACAGGACAAAAGTGAGTAATTGCCGGACACAGAAAGCTGAGTTTAATTAATTAGTATTTAGAAAGCAACTTAAGACTCCTGAATCGTCCATGCAGTCAAGAGATCATTAACATTTTCGTGGCACAGGTGTTTTTCACAACATTAAGAATTAACTCTGTAATGTGACTATGACTGACTTTGGTAAACCAGAGGTACACTTTCCTATCTATTAGTGGTTACTGTCTTCCTCTGGAAGTAACAAACTATCCAGTCATTTACTGAAGAACAAGTACACTAGTAAAAGAGAAAAAGCAAGAAATACTCCCAGAGAGTCCCGCAGTCCAATTAATTTGCTTTTCCATTTAAC